GCCAGCCAATCGGACCGCACACATCCTGCTACTGATTGGAATCCAATCAACCAGAGCAGCTTCAACCCGGGGATTCAGGGCAATACCGAAACCGGCTTGGCCGATGCTCGAAGCTGCATCGTCACCGGATAGGCGCAATGCAAAAGTGCTGCTAGTGTCACCTGAAAGGGATCGCAAAGTGAGTACAACGCTCGAGTCTTGCAGGTGGGACTCCGATAAGCAGCGGATATCGATCGAGAGGGTCTCTAATGTTCGGGCAAGTGCGGCCCGTTGACCGATCTGAAGCAATGTGCGAACATTGAGGCATGCCAATCTGAAGGAGGATCGAGGGCTCCAAATGGAAGCCGATGAACTGGGCTTGACCGCTTGCTTGGGCATGGGCCTGTTGACAATACAGGAATGACGCTCCGCGTTTACTTGTGAGTTGTAACTAAAAGACAAGGGACTATTGAAGCAAGGTTGGAGAGGGCCGAGAATTGGGGGGTTAAAAACAGGGGGATAGATGTGAAGCTGGAACGGGACGATAAGTGGGAAAAACGCAAGACGGGGAATGAGAAAACGCGAAGGCTTGAGCAGTAGCATCCAAACCCCTATCCACCCTGCCCGATGCAGCAGATAGGGCACCGTTGATTATCCTCTGCGGTGGCCAGAGCATCAGAAATTTGTTTGATGTGGGATTCATTGTATTACGCGGGTATGATACTGTCAGGTTGCCCAGGACTAAAAAGGAGAACGATTAGAGTTCTCAACCAAAGCCTTTGGTTCAAAACCTGACCGCAAGGCAGCGGGTTTGGCATTGGGCTACAAGGAGTCCGTTTTAAGGAATAAGGAGCCACCCTCATTCCAACCCCCTACCTGGAGGACCAGGAGGCTGAGCTTGTCTGGCCTCTAACCATTGACCAATCTGGTATGAGTGGCTCTGAAAGTGCAAAAATGCACTACCGAGTATAGCTCAATGGATCACTGAGGCACACAAACCATCGCACCACAGTAAGGTCTAGCCTCATTGCGATGGGATCCTTTTTGCAATAACACCTAGTTCAGCTAAACTTGACCTCTCTAAGTCAACACAGAACTTATCTGTATCCCCCACCTATTCTCCCTCCACCATCAATGATTGTAGAATTAATCAATCCACGTAATTCTAAATAAAACAATAAGAAGACTGGTATTGCGAGATGGTACCATTTTGTGTTATCTGTTCACTCGCAAACTAACAACAGATAGATGAATCACGTGACAGAAAAAATCGAAGATTTGAAACTGGTCATAAGGGAAAAATTACGTAGACACAACAATGACAGATTAGCATCCGGATCTTAGGGTCATGATCTCCAAGGAAGCTTCAGGGAGACTGTTAATTGTTTTTGTACGCATAGGATAGGGCGATGCCGGTTAAGTGCCACCGCTTCGGCAAACCTCAACACTTTGGGGTTGTCATTACGATAGATAACTGTAAATGTTGACCTGGGGTCAACTTGATGGCCTGATCCGAGTAGATGTCTGGCGATCGATGAGGCCGACAGCTTAGATACCTTTTCTCGTTCGCCTGCTTGTTGTGTCGATAGTTTGGCAATCCATTTTGGGATATGCTCTCCAATGCGCTTACCCAAGGATCGATCCGTTCTGCCAATGTAACTACTACTACCGCAGTTACAAACGGATTGGTAAATGCAATGGGTTGTGGCGGAGATCGGTTGAGTAGGCTTCACTGGTTTGCGAGTGAACAGATAACACGAAGTGGTACCATCTAGCAATACCAGTCTTCTTATTGTCTTATTTAGAATGACAAAGGGAACTCAGTGCTTTAAATCCATGTAATGTTTATATTGCAGAAGGTTCCACTTAGCACGAGCTCAAAAGAGCATTTGAGCATACATCTACACATTTGAGTCAACAGACGTTGCTACATACTACGACCATGCTACTTTGCTGGACAGCGCTAGGTATTTTTCAGACTGACTAAACTTAAAATGCTTTCGCTGATGACCTAGCTTCATTTACTATCACCTTCATATGCTTGAACAAACCTTGTCTAATGTTACACAGGAAAACATCGTCGTGATTTCTGTGTGTAGCCAGAAGCTTTCCAAAAATGGCCGCAAGTTTATTAAACGGGATGGAAAGCAAGGCAAAAGGTAGTTATATAATGTGCTGGTCTCTAAAGCTTCTTGTCTCTGAAAGAATACTTCCATCTATATGCTCCACTATTAACTCTGCTCAGTTTCTCTTGTCACTCTGTTTTACGCGGACGCTTGTAGGCTGTATATACCGCCCACTTTAAGTCAACCTGGTTGATAGGAACCAGTTAGTTGACATCGTTAATTGCATGTCAGAATTCAGTTCATTTGCTAACTCATCAGTGTAGATTTCAACCCACTAAAGATTTTTTACTCCAAATTGTCAACAAATGTCAAGCGGGGTAAATTCGTTATCTTCCTCATCACCGGTGGTTAGGATCAACATGTTCTCAGGGCTACCAGGGAAAATATACACTAGGCCTAACTTTTACTTCATTCACGTACTCGGTAGCCACTGTACAATAAAAAGTATAACTTGATGTGATTGCCAAATAGTTAAATGCAAGTTACTAGCCAAACCGTAGCACGTGGGACCAGTGATGGTTCCACACTTCTGTGTAATTAGATTTGAATGACTTTCTCCAGCTTTCTCGTGGCTTTCGCTTGACATGTGACTATATGCTTCAGCATACTTGTTTCCGGTGATAATATCAAGTGTACGAGAGCATCTTCTAAATAACTTTTAGAAACACAAGGGATAATCGGGAACTACCGATTCTAATTAGAACCTATGAACGAACTCATGACTTTAGCATATTACTGTGGCTTCGAGGACAATAATTGAAAAGGTATTCATAATCCACATCTATTTCAACCAGGAAGAACATCGAACTATGTAGTATTGTAATGCCAGTCTTTATGCGACTGCACCATTGCAAAGAAGATAAGGAGAAAATTGATCTAGCGTCCCAAATCGTCACATCTGAAGGTGAATGTGTTGCTTCACCGCATGCTATAACCGAAGCCTTTATCTCATATTTTACTAAAACTTGCAACCCTGTAAATGAAACAGTGGATTTGTCAACCTTCACTGAAGTCTCTGAACGAGTTTCAGCTATCGACCGTAGCATCGCTGCGAGAAAACGCATAGTTACCTACCTTCAACCATCCTATAGACCTGTCCCCCATGGGATCTCATTTGCCTTAGTCAAGTAAGATGACGAAAATGTTCTTTCATATCACTGAACAAATCCTCTTGCTTTCTGTTTGATCAATATCCTGAACACTGAAAGAAGTCTACGCTTATACCGAAAAAAGAGTACCGGTCCAAAGTGGACATCCAAAACTACCGCCCCAGGAACCACACTTCAATTCTCTAACGTGTGTAAGATTATTATTAAGAGGCGGGTGTTTTCCTTCCTATTATCCTACCAAATGTTCTAGCCTGTAAAGCATACCTTTCTAAAGCCCCGTTCGTCTGTGACCAACTAAGCTAGCTTCCTTAATCATCAAACAGAAGCAAATGATTTAGATCTTCAGTGTATTGGATTCTTGAACTATGAAAGTGTTTGACAGATTTCCACGCCGGAGACTTATGTAGAAAATAAGTAAGGACGAAACAACAAATTCGTTTCCGTTTTGGCTGCAATCGGCTCAAGTAAGCCAAAGTCTCTTTACTCTATATAGTCGCCAGTCGGGCATTGCAAGGCAGTGTTTTAGGGGTCATGTTTTTCAACTGTATATAAATGACCTTATCTCTCTTATACGACTTGTCAGGCTTTATTTGTTTGCTGAGGATCTAAAGGTTAATTATACGCTTCCATCCATGTAAAATACCTCCAAAATTAACGGTATCCAAAGCGATGTTAAAGCCATTGAGAGGTGGGCTGCTATGTGGTAGATAACATTTTCAATATCCAAATGTACTAGCCTATAAATGCTGGGTAGAAATAGGATAGGCTTTATACAGTAGGCTTTATACAGTCATTCCAATCAGCCAGTGTGTCCTAGGCTTACGTTTGATTTATTTCAGCTCGATAATGACTTGAGAACATACAAATTCTATTGTGTAATCGATTAGGCTCATGTACCACCAGTTAACCATGAAAGAAACCAGACTAATCGCATTCAAAATCAATAGCGTTCACTTACTTGGATGTTGCTCTGTCAGAAGTAGCAGCCGGCGAAATTGGGATTTGAAGGCCAGTTAAACAGTACAGCGTGCTTTCACAAAGCGATATTCAGATATCCAACTACACTTTCCTATGGTTATAGTACAATGAACATTTCTTTATAACGGATAATAGGTAGGTGCTTGAAATGTCCCGTGGGGTAGTTAGATTGAGAAAAGATGGTTCAAGGGAGAATGGAATCGTCAGTTCGGGCAATTCCAGATTTCACTGCACTTCCGTATAAAGGAAGTTTGAAATTAGTATGTTCGCCCACAAAGCAAGAAGAGGAGTGGTTATTGAGCACGTGCTAAACAAGAAAAAAATTAAAAATTGCAAGGACATTGCTTACTTGTTTGCAGCTATCTCGGGCTGACGGGATACAGAAATCCAGTTTCTACAATGGTAACGTTTATCAAATTTTGTGCAAGGTGTTTGGAGCGACTCATTCTCTAGTAGGATTATGGCATCGCCCACTGTTAGTTGTGATTTGGTGCTATCATCTGGTGGTCATGGGCTATAGCACGTAGGGTAAATGAGACGGAGTATCCTCAAGCTGTTGGTTGAAAAGGGATAGGGTGGGTGCATTATTTACATGTTCCGGCAAAGCGTTCCAAGGCTTTGACACAAAAAGGGAGTAACAGTTTCGCCGACATTCCAGGCTGGTGTACTGCGTGACCAGCTTAAACAAATGACGTTTTAGCAGGGTGTTTTGACTGAGTATCAGAAGGGAATAGGAAATGGGTGGTTGGGGTTTCGCAAGATCTGGTAAACCATTCTGCGATGCAAATCCCGGTGGAGCATGCAGGCAATGAGGCAACACATACCAGCTATTCTCGTGGGAATCAAGAAAGGCTTTGGTCTTATCAAGTATCCATCGAGTTCAACGCATCTCAAAGTGCCGCTCTCAGAGCTCTTCTTGGCTCCCAGTGCTTTTAACCCTTATAACGATGAAGACAAGACTACCCACGTAACGGGCAACTCAACATTATCATTGGGCAAAGCGTTGCACTCCTTTTCTGTTCGGGATCCGGTCGACCTTTGGCTCAGTATGAAAAGCACGACTCACGGGGACCAAGGCGATAACGAATGTCTCGAAGAGGATGGGCATACAAAGAAAGAAATTCCTTTTGCGGGTGCTTGGTGGCCAGGACGCGTACTGGCAATCTAGGGCGGTTTCGGCTATGTCGAGGTGGCTGCTTCCTTGGTTGAAAATGGCTCGTCAAATGATTTATCCACCAATCACCTGCTCCCCCATGTTGTCCGTGTTGGTTCGGTTTTACCATATCGATCAACTCTTGTTAAACTGGAGGAGATTAGACCTCCCTGGACTGGTCTGCCACTTCCAGAGCGTCCGGTTGGTGAGCCGTCTGTGCAGCCGTTTACCAGAGACCAATGTTTCGAAACGCATTTTCTGGCCTCACCCGGAGTTCTCCATCGTCATACGGTGTGCATACCAGTCTATCTACCTCGTCTAGCAACTTCCGCTGATTCACACTCCGCCCTGCTCAAATTTTGTGGCGCCCCTTGCTTGGTCCAGTGTGATCCGGAGCCTTTTCTCGCCAACGTCTTGGCGAGGCGAATTCTCGCCGATAGCGATTCTGCTACCGTATCCGGGCGCCAAACTCCAAGCCACGCAGATTCTGATGCGGTCCCATCCGTCGCAGTCTCGGTTGAGTCACAGTCTTCCGTAGCATCGTCTTGGCCCTCAACTTCATTGATAGCACAGTCTACCATACTCAGTGCTCCAAATATAGCCGGTACTTTAAGTCCGGCCGGTGTCACTGATCCAACGCTACTTTTGGAAGGTCTTCCAGGAGCAAATGGTCCGTTGGTTCTACTGCACATATGGTCAGGATCTTCAGAAGCCATTCGACGGGCTGCTTTACTGGAATTGGCACATGTCCGGATTCTTGTGTTTCGATATCATGTACTTCGGAAGTTGTCTAACGGGCAACCGGGTGAGTTGGATTTTGCGGATTCCACGCAGTCTCCCGCGGAAAACGGAGACGCTCCAGCTATGCATTGTAAACCGATAAGCATTCCAATTCAGACTAATGCGGAAGGTTCTAACGCAGCCAATCTGTCTGGCGGTATCATGATAGGATATTCTGCTCAGTTCCGCATTCAACCGCAGCTTATTGGTCTTGCAATCGGCTATCGCAGCGCCACCATTCAAGAAGCACGGGGATTACCGGGTGTCCGTTCAGTCGACTTACTTCACAACGGTATCGTTCACGTTGAGGCTGAGACGGTCGAGGCTTGTCAGGCCGTCCGCTCACTACTAGATTATACCGAAGCTGAGATTCCCGTTTCCCCTCGATTGGCCAGTCGCCTCATCGGATCCAAAGGCATGAATATCCGCAAACCGGCGGCATCAGCCGGAGTACGCAGAGCACAGTTGCTTGATCCTTTGATGAGAAAGAGGAGACAGCAACATATGAACCCCCAACAACTTCGTATCTCTCCGGACCAGAACCAATTTGAAGCAACAGGCGAGCTTAACCAAGATGCGCAGTGCAACAATGGGGATAAATATGTGCCAGCTCAATCGGGAGTGCTTGGTTCTGCTGTTGTGGACAGAGACGAGGAAATTGCTCAAATGAAGGATGAGAGCCTTTCCCCACCCGCATTCTATCTACTTGGAACTCGTTCGGCAGTGGCGAAAATGCGCCTACTTCTAGAGTTTCAAGCCGATAACTGTAATAGAGAGGTAAGCGGAGCTAAAGCTGGGTATCGACTGAGAATTGATCGGCCAGCAATTACCACTCCGCGTAAAACGAATCGAACTACACTGTCAATATGATAAACCCGTGGAGTGGAACTCACTCATACTGGCTGAAAACCGGACGCACGAAAATGAGCGATCTTGACCTCCTAAATTAGCATGTTTCGGCTACCTATAAATACAGTTAACTTATGGTGTAGATAGACTTCCTGTTTACCGGGCCTTGGTATTCTGTATTCCGTTTGTTGGGTTGGCGCGTGACTGAGAAGTCAGACGGTCGCAGTCTCATAGGGCAGCTAGCAACAATACAACAGCCGTCAGTGGCAGAGAGCAGAGGTAAAGTAGAAGCATTACAACCAAACTATTATGAGATCGTGCCGATAACGTCCGTTGTATATTTTGAGAGTCATCAGCCTGAGTGGGTAAGGGAGGCTCTTCGTTGCCCTAGGTTGTGCAGTTTCGAGCGCGGTGAGATGGTGCTTGAGCTAAGGTTGCCACTCTTGAATAGCTTATTCCGCATGCGACCTCACATACGTACTAAGCATTTTTGGAAAGACTGAAGGGTCAAACTTCCTGAAGGCGAAGTAGGCCGAAGTACTGGTTTTCTTTCGCAGATGACTTTTCAGTCTGTCACAAACAACCGAGGTCATCTTGAACTAGCACGCCGAGATCGCACTGGTGAGAAGCCCGCTGTAGGATTTGTGGTCCTAGGCGATATTTGTGCATACTCTTGTACCGTATGCTGAGAACTTTACATTTGGTGACGTTGAAATGCAGCATGTTCTCGATGGACCATGTGTACGCTTTGTGCAGGTCTTCCAGTAACACTGTGTGATCCTCCATCGCAGCTATAGTGCGCCATACCTTTACATCATCAGCAAATAGTAAAATGTTAGAATATAGCACGGCAGGTAAGAAACGGGTCAAATGCACAACGGTAGAAAAAATAATAGCACCTGGACCCAAGATATATTGTAAGGGCTACAATGAATGGAGAGCAAAGCAACAGCAAGGAACAAAGTAGCGCGCATTCACCGAGCAGTAATTGTCTATGGGAGGTGAAGTCAAACAAACAAATGGTCCAACGGAAGACATAGTGATCAATAAAAACCAGTATTATGAAACAACGAAAATGTGAACGTTTTGACTTCCCTACAGGCGTCTTTAACTCGTAAGAACGCATTTAAATATGTGCTTCCTCCAGTGACTTGTGTAACAAAAACCATGTATTGCAGAGTAATCATTGCGAGTTGTGACAACTAACAAATACGAGATGTGAGATCGGGAATCTATAGCCACATCACCATAATTAAAGACTAAGGAAAATGTTCTTCCTTTATAGGTACACCTTCATGTGTAACTGGCTGCTTCCACAAAAAGTATGTATTGAATATTTTTGCTTGTTCTAGGAAATGTTGCATATTCCTCTTTCAAACAGTAAAATGAAGCCTACTCTAAAAATTAAATTAATGATAAGAAAGGTTTTGAAGATGGACCAGATCACAAATGATACCGGAGTACATCTTTTGAAAGCATCCTGCGGTAGTTGAAGGTACCATAAAGCCAAAATATTGTTTGAGGTTATTTGGTAACCGGTAACTAAGCGATCTGCATGCCTTGACTACTCTAGCTATATTATCTTGCCAATTTCTAGTTCGTTTACTTTTCATATTTAGTTTGCTGCCGTCCTGCTTGCAAGCCATAGTTTAGGCAAAGTGTTGCATGCAGGTTTGTCTGGACATGACAGTGGGTCCTTGGAACCAGAGCGTCTAGCATCTTTCTCATCTTATCCACCTATTCTCAGCCTCCTTCCCCAATTTGTTATATTTGGATCTAGTCTGCCCTAGTATCCGTACGTGTCGGCTTTCTGGCTACCGCAAAGTTAGTCAGGACTTTCTATATCATTCTTTAGCGTTTATTCCTTTCTGTGAAGCATTTTACAGTCCTCAATTCTCGATTGGTCACTACTTACCTACCTTTACTTCTATTATTTTACATCTGATCTCCTCTGCAATTCTTAATCGTCTTCAGCTCGAGCTAGGTCGACCAAATGTACCCACATACTGAATATATCGATGGTTGTATGTGTAGATACTGGTGATAAGATGTTTGAGTACCGGTTACTTAAAATGTTGCCTGCTTCGTTATTTGAGTCTGCGTTGTGTTGTGCATGTTGGCGAAAATACAAAATATTTTTAATTAATTGCAATGGCTAGTTCAAAACTGAAAACATGTATCACCCTAGTTTCACTTTCATTTTACTGCAATCAATTTAGGGTATATTATCATCATACTCATGTCAATTCCTCTTAAGCTAGTTATTCATCACAATTTATCTTACTCCCTAGTTTTGCTACTTGGATTGAGGACAAAATTTTCAAGATCATGGGGTCAGTTTAGGCGGAAATAAGGAGATCCGCCTCTTTTTTCGTCGAACTTGCAGTAAGGATCTATTTTCCTCGCTACTGGACAACATGATCAAACTTTGCGTCTATCTATATTTATGTGTGTTTCATATTTTGCAAAGGACAAGCGCTACACATTGCTGCGCTCTTGAATATTTGTCCTGTTTACTGTAAGTAAGCGCGACCGTGTACACAATAATCACGTCGCATCAAGGGGGCTGTATCTTGGGTTATGGATAAAGATAAAATATTAGTAAAGTGCTATATTCTTGGCCAGAGGACAGGTTCCTTTTTACGTTCAACCGATAGCAGTTGTTCGGATATGCATGTGTCACCTCCATCGCTGCTAGGCGTGGTGCCTTAAGAAATGAATCAAGGAAGGTAAGCTCCAAGTAAAGCATTCATTTTGGTAATTCTCATCAGACTCAAACATTATATTATGACGATTAAGTGCTATATGTGCAGTATTGGGCTGCGTTTTGATCACAAAGTTCAATTCCACCTGAAACAATACAACAAATCCTGGGGTCATTGAAGGTGGCATTTTATGTACAGGAGCAAACCACTATCACAAACAAAGATTAACTGGAGTGTAGAATAAAAGTTATACGTGCCTTCGAGTTGTGCCTCATTTAATCTTTACGAAAGTGGTTTGATTTAGTACTTTCAATTACTCCGAAATTTTTTGCTTTGTTACGGTTGGAATTAAACCTTCTGAGCAATACGCAGCGCAATCCGTCACATTTGGCACTTACTCGTCATTATGTAGTGTTTCAGTCTGATCAGAATTACCGAAAATATTCGGCAAATTGACTCAAAATGTACGGCCGCAATCTAACTCGGCTCTCGCTTTGTTCCCTGTGGCCACTTTAATTCATCCCACACAACACTGTGCGCGCGTTTGTTCGAACCGGTTCGGCGGGCTCTACTGATTGCTTCCTCCATCTTGGATCTTGTTGTTGACGCTTTCACACCACGACCACAAGGAGTCGAAAGACGAACCGGAAAGAGCATTGTATACATGAAATCACATTGCTTATATAATTTTGAAGGCAATATATAGTGAAGCTACTAAATTACATTTGAGCCAGCTAACAGAAAGAAAATGTCAAATGCAATGGACGAATAAGCAACGGTGTAATCAAGTACGAATCGTATATGTCCTTAGAAATAGCATCAAGGGACCCAAGCGTAAAGCGAACATCCATTTAAAGTGACGGGCACTGGCCAATCAGAATAACAAAAGTTAGCGTTTATACAAACGTCACGAAACAAACGGGAACGTGAAAGGCAGGCTCAAAATTAAAACAAAAACGATACAATAATTGCGTTACAACTAATTATTCCTTTAACATAATCAATTAGAACAGGGATACGGAGAAAAACCACTGCTGAAAATGACACGGAGATGAGTGTCCATTAACAATGACATGTGTGTACCAATCAAGCAAACAAAGTGGAAGGTTTAAACAACAGTCAGGAAGTAGAGGATTGGAAGGATAAATAATAGCTATAAAGCTCTTTTACAAAAAGTCAAATAGCTAAGCTCCTAACAGCTCTACCTGTGTGAAGTATACTCTAGTTCCAGTTTTCAGTTTTGGCATGTTCTTTGCCGACTCTTAGGTGTGTAACTACATCAAACCGGAGATTTTCGGAAACATTTTGATCTTCTTCAGAAGAAGAGGCAGGAAACACCCAAACAACATGGCAACCATCTCTGCAAGTTGTGACACAAAAATGTTACCGTCATTTTGCTACGCTCATCGATCGAATATCTCGTCCGCAGCACGACGCTCTTCAACGCTCCACTTTTATCCTCGAATAGGCAGGCCGATGAATACATGCTGCCGCTTTGTGTGGGTGTGTGCGTTCATCCGCGAGTCGTTTGATCGCTGAACCCGACAGTCTACGAGGTAAGACATCCATCTGCTGCGGCCGCCTGACTTTGGTGTGACTGAACAACTAGCAACCCGTGTGCATGTTTTGACGTGTGTGTGTGTGTGTGCTACTCCTGACGCATAGAACGGTTATCAACTCTGAGTGGCAGAACCACAAAGGTCGCTCAGATAGGCCTTGTTACAAACGATAAGAGAGGGACTAGCACTCCAATGGTTCAACGTCGCCTATGTGCAACCGAATATGTGTAACCGAATACCCCCCAGATGTTGCC